AATCACTTACTAGTTCCAAGAGGTTTTCAGTATGTTTCTTTTTTTTTTTAGTCATTGATTCTTTCAGATTTTCTACATAGATGGATAATGTCATATGTGAAAAAAGGCAGTTTTATTTCTTCCTTCCCAATCCGTATCCCTTTGATTTCCTTTTCTTGTCTTATTGCATTAGTTAGGACTTTGCATATGATGCTGAAAAGCAGTGGTGAGGGGGGGACATCCTTGCCTTGTTCCTAACCTTAGTGGGAAAGCTTTGATTTTTCTCATGATTTAGTATGATGTTAGCTATAGGTTTTTTGTAGATATTCCTTTACCAAGTTGAGGAAGTTCCTATCTATTCCTAGTTTACTTAGAGTTTTCATCATGAATGGGTTTATGCATAGGTCTTGGATTTGGTCAAAGGCTTTTTCTGCATCTATTAATATGAGCATCTAATTTGTCTTCTTTAGCTATTGATGTGATAGATTACATTAATTGATTTTTGAATGTTGAACCAGCTTTGAATACCTGGGATAAATTCCACTTGGTTGTGGTATATATTAATAATTCATTTCTATACATTGTTGGATTTCATTTCCTAATATTTGTTAAGGATTTTTGTATCCATGTTCAAAAAAGATATTGATGTTTAGTTTTGTTGTAATGGCTTTGTCTGGTTTTGGTACAAGATACTGATGGCCTCATAGAATGTGTTAGGAAGTATTCCCTCTGCTTCTATTTTCTGAAAGAGTTTATAAATTGAAGAGAATTGGTATAATTTCTTTCTTAAATGTTTGATAGAATTTTCCAGTGAACCCATCTGGGCCTGGTGCTGTTTCGAAAGCTTACTAATTATTAATTCATTGTCTTTAATGGATACAGGTCTATTTAGATTGTCTATTTCTTCTTGTGTGAGTTTTGTCAGCTTGTGTCTTTCTAAAGATTGGTCCATTTCATCTAGGTTATCAAATTTGTGGTTATTCATAGTATTCCTTTATTGTCCTTTCAATGTCCATGAGATCTATAGTGTTGTCCCCTTTCATTTCTGATATTAGTAATTTGGTAATGTTTTTCTTAGTTAGCCTGGCTAGAGGCTTATTGATTTGGTTATCTTGTCAAAGACCCAGCTTTTGGTTTCACTGATTTTTCTCTATTGATTTCCTGTTTTCAATCATTGATTTCTGATCTAATTTTTATTTATTTTTTTCTACTTACTTTGAATTTAATTTGTTCTTTCCATCAGTTTCCTAAGGTGGAAGCTTAATGATTTTAGATCTGTTTTTCTAACATAGGCATTTGATGCTATTAAGTTTTCCTCTACGCACTGTTTTTACAGCCTCACACAAATTTTGATAAGTTTTGTTTTTATTTTCATTTAGTTACAAATATTTTAAAATTTCCTTGAGGTTTTGTCTTTGACGCATGTGTTATTTGGGAGTGTACTGTATTATCTCCAAGTATTTGGGGGATTTTCCATCTGTCTTTGTGATTGATTTCTAATTTAATTCCATTGTGGTCTGAGGACATTATATGATTTCTCTTCTTTGGATTTGTTAAAAGTGTGTTTTATGGTTCAGAATGTGGTCTTTCTTGGTGACTATTCCAGGAGAACTTGAGAAGAATGTGTAATCAACTGTTGTAAGATGTATTGTTTATAGATGTCAATTATATTCTCTTGATTGATGGTGCTGTTGAGTTCAGCTATGTCCTTACTGATTTCCTACCTGCTGGATTTGTCCATTTATGATAGAGAGGTGTTGAAGTCTCCAACTGTAATAGTGGAGTCATCTATTCTGCTTGCAATTCTTAAGTTTTTGCCTCACATATTTTGATGCTCTGCTGTTAAGCACATACAAATTAAGGATTGCTATGTCTTCTTGGAGTATTGACTTCTTTATCATTGTGTAATATTCCTCTCTATCTCTGATAACTTCCCTTGTTTTGAAGTTTGCTATGTCTGAAATTAATATTGCTAACACTACTTCTTTTGATTAGTGTTAGTATGGTATATCTTTTTCCATCCCTTAACCTTTAATCTATCTGTGTCTTTATATTTAATGTGGGTTTCTCACAGACAACATATAGTTTCATCTTGTTCTTTGACCCACTCTGGCAATCTCTGTGATTTAATTGGTGCATTTAGACATTGACGTTCAGAGCAATTATTGACATAGATTAATATCTACCATATTTTTTACTGTTTTCTATTTGTTGCCCTTTTTCTTTGTTCCTATTTTTGTCTTGCACTCTTTTTATGCCTTTTGTAGTTTTAATTGAGAGTATTATATTTCATTTTCTCTCCTTTCTTAGCACATCAGTTATACTTGTTTACTTTTCTTAGTGGTTGCCCTTGAATTTGCAATATATATTTATAACTAATCCAGGTCTACTTTTAAATAACACTATACTGCTTCATGCGCAGTACAAGTACCTTATAATAATAAATCACAAAATGATTCTAATTCCTGTCTCTTATTTCTTGTATCATTGCTGTCATTCACTTCACTTAAACATAAGCATACATAAGTTTGTGTGTGTGTGTGTGTGTGTGTGTGTGTGTGTGTGTGTGTGTGTGTGTGTGTATCTCCAAATATATTATTGGACAGGGCCTTGCTGTAATGCCCAGGCTGGAGTGCAGTGGTGTGATCATAGCTCACTGCAAACTCGAGCTCCTGGGTTCAGTCAATCCTCTTGCCTCAGCCTCCAGAATAGCTAGGATTACAGGCATGTACCACCATGCCCGGCTAATTTTTTTTTTATTTTTTGTAGAGATAGGATCTTTCTATGTTGTCCAGGCTGCTCTCAAACTCCTGGCTTCAAGCAATTTCCTGCCTTGGCCTCACAAAGTGCTGGGATTACAGGCATGAGCCATTGCTCCCAGCCCTATTGCTATTATTTTTTGAACTTATTTGTAAAATCA